TTTAGTATTTTTCATTTATGATAGTGATAATCTTTTTCTTTTTTTCTCCCTTCCTGCAACTTTCCTATCGAAAATTATTTCTCTAAACAACAATTTTGGATTATAATTTCAGGAAGATGAAAAATCGATTGAGTAAACAATTTCAATTTCTCACTTCACTTCAAAGATTCTAAACATATTTTTTATAACTTTCTTTGTTTGTACAAAATTCATTATAATGTTTAATTCCTTTTATTTCGGTACATTTTTCCCTAATTATGCATACTAAAAAAAGAAAACAATGTTATTATTACATGAAACAATACAAGAATTAAATTTTTTAATAAAATTAATTTCTATTTTTACACATTTTTTTATCCAACAAAATTTTTTGTCTTTTTAAGGAATTAAAAAAAAGAAAAAAGAATGACTTTTACAATAAACTTAACTAAATTGTATCACATAGAAACATTATCAGTGTTGAAAAATGAGATGATATATAAGTTTGATCAGTTAGATATGTTGCATTTGCATGATATATTTTCTCTTTGAAGTGATGTAAATTTTATCAAGGACAAGTTGAAAAGTAATGGAAGAAAAAAAAAAGAAGAAAGAGGGATAAGAAATGGAGAGAGAGAGAGAGAGAGAGAGAGGGAAAATATGGAAGTAAAAAGATGTAATACGCCTGATGGTGTTGAAATTACAGAAATACAAGCATGAAAAGATTTCAAAAACCCTTTGATATGAAAAATCGTAAATTTCCGCTTGAAACAATGATCATCAATTATAATACTGATGAGACTAGGAGGTAAAGGAGGAGGAGTAAAAGGATTGAATGATGGCATATATTTTTACCTCTTGTAAATTTTTGAAAACAGTTATACGAATCATTTACCTTTTTTCATCACTTATATAAAGTTTCACTATTCCAATTAATGCTTTCCATTACTTTGAATTAATTTAATTTACACACTAAAATTAGAAAAATTAGAGTTAAAAGAAATTTTTCTATAACTGAAATCGTTTATTGAAAATATTGAAATAAATTTGATATTCTGACTAAAACCCAAATCTATTTTTAAAAGTCATCATTTTGGGTATTGTTATCATTCCAATTATATCTTTATGATTTAATTGATCTTAAAAATGACAAATTATAAATTAGGATAAACTAATTTCTGAATACGTTTTGTTAGCTATTCTTCTTTTTCTTTTGGTAATATCTCAGCTTTCATAATTTATTATCATATTAGACAGTAGACTAATTATCCAGTACATTTTATTTATAGGAAAAAATGATTTCAATTCTTAATGGCATTAAAATACAGTCAAAACAATCGTTACATTTGGATGCTTAATGGAAATTTATTAATCAAATATTAGTTAATAATAGTAACAATATTGGCAATAATAATAATAACAATAAAATAATAATAATAATAAAATAGTAATAATAATAATAATAATAATAATAATAAATAATAGTAGTAGTAATAATGATTGAATTTGGTAAAAGCAATTATTCGGTGACTAACATGTGCCAACATCTGCTCAACATTTTACCTTCCTTCATTGTATTTTCAACAACAAAAAAAATGAAAAAGACAATTTCCACAAATATTTTGCATCGTTGAAAAGAAGTGTTATCATCATTGTGCCATCTGTTTTATCTCTTTTTATTTTCTATATTTTCTTCTTTTGCCTTTTTTTTATTACCTTTTTACTTCTTTTATTACCTTAATTAATTTTGGAATAATTAATAATTATCAAAAATGCAAAATACCATAATTTATACAAAATTATTGAAATTTATAAGATTAAATTGTTACAAATTTTTATTCAATAATTAATATTTCAATTTCTTAATTATTATTATTATTATTATTGTCATTGTTTTTTCTTTTCGAAATAATATTTCTAAATTTTTTTTTCTCCTAATATTTCTTCCATTCTTTTATGTCTATTTTTCCGTGGAACATTCACAATCATTTCAATACTGTTGTTGTTACCAGTAGACATCAATGCTACTAGCTGACCTTTTCTCATTTTTATTTCTTTGTATCCTTCGTTTTTTATATCAATTTTATTCCTTTCCTTACCTTTCCCATGATTTTTTTCTGTTTTGTTTTTTGTCTCACACTTTTTTTGCGCTATCATTGGCACCTTTCATAGCCTTTCAACAATGACAAATATCAACGTTGAATCTGAGGATAATTGTCGTTAGAGATTGATTGTACAACGAATTCCGTACTTCTCACTTCAACTTTTCCCATCACTACATATCGAAGTTATATTGATAATTCATTTTTCATCATCAATTCATTTTACATCTCACATCACTTATTTTTTTATTTATTTATTATTATTATTATTATTATTATTATTACTATTACTATTATTATTACTATTATTTTATTATCATTATTATTAATTATTATCATTATTAATTATTATTAATTATATGCAATAAATTTGTCAATCTGAGTTTTTTTTTGAATTAGTTATCAATTTAGTATCGAAATAAGTCACTTTTTTTTTCTTTTTTTCGTTCCCCTTTTTTCTTCACTAATTATATTATCAATTAATTAAAAAATATTAGGAATAATTGGATGTAAGCGCTAATCAGAGGTTACATTAATTAGTACAGTGAGTGAGATTTCCATATAACATTTATATTGTTGCAGTTATTCAGCGTTCTATTACAATGAATTATCGTCAATAAATAATCATCCTATTCTTCTGTCAAAAGTAAATATTTATGAAAATTGCATGTATCACCAACTGTCACTTTTCAAATAACAGATGGTCAATTAATATAAAATTCATGTGAAAAAAAATTAGGTGCTGATATATCCGATATAGAGGCTAAACATTTGAATTTGAATTTGAATTTTCAACCAAAAATGATGCATGAATTGTCATTTAAATTTAAACTAAAACAAAAAGAAAATCCTTAATTTGATTTAAATTTATAAAAATAATTCTTAACAATTTATATAAGTTGAATGCATTGAAATGGAAGAAAAAAATAATAGTTACTGTTGAAACTTCATACAAACTAAATTAATAAATGCAAACTTTAGGAGGACAATTGGGCAATGATAAATTATCAGCAATATAATTTAGCATATTTGAATTAAAATTAATTACGATGATGTTTACCATAATTTTCTAGCTACATATATGCTAGAAGGGAAGATGTTCAGTTTCACACTTACAAAAATAATAATTTACTTGAACGAAATGAAGAGATTCAATCGTGTCACATACGACACATTTTTATCTTAAAATTTCTTTTTCCTCCTCCTCACCATCATCATATTTGATGTCATCCGAAAATGATATCTTCGACGGTCAGGATTGATCGATTAGTCATGCAGAAAATGTTGATTTTAGATGAAATAAGAAAAACATTATCATAAATTGTTCATTTTAGATTAAAATTTGTCCATTTTCTGCACTGGTAATTTATATTATCACTATCTGTTATAATTTATCATCAGGTTAAATGATAAAGATTATTAATTATATTGTTCTCGAAATAATATTATTATTATTAATCATCATTAATTATTTGTTGCAGCATTTATCAATTAGAGCTTGCTATTTCGCATATATTTTTAAATCAAATTCAATTCTAAATTATCATTTTCTTCATTTCTTTCTTCTTTCTACACTTACTTGAAACTCTTTTGAGTAAATTTAAACTTACTTCAAAATTATTTTCTTTTCTTGTAATTTAATTTCATCCCAAAATTTTAATCATTTTAACATATATCATCAAACTGATAAACATCATTCCAGCTTATCAATAGCCAAATTATATATTGCTTATACAACCAAATATGCTTTATAGCATTCGTTCAATATATATTTTCCATCAGATACATTTGAAAACAAAAGTCGTAGACGAAGCTTTTACCTCTTCATTTCTCTCTCTCTCTCTCTCTCTCTCGTTTTTTTTAAGTTATTTTTTATCTTTATTTTTCGTTGAAAGTTTTCTCCCTCTCTTCGATATCTTCCTACATCTGCGGTAATTTCTTCTTTATTCTAGAATAATAGATAAATATCAAATTGATCAATGCATTGTATCGGAGATATCTTTCCATCTTTATTCTTAAAACTTTTTTTCATTATTTTTCTATCCAAAAATTATTCTCTCTTTTTTTTCCCTTTTTCATCTATCTGTATGTTATTTCTTTATTTTTTGTTTTCTTAGATTAAAAAAATAGCATTGTTAAATGAAAAAGAAACCATTAAAAATGGAGAAATTATTTATGATAGCATCTGCAAAAAAACGAAGAAATCGGTCATTTTTTCCCTTTTTCTTTCTCTTTTTTATCTCTCTCTCTCTCTCTCTCTCTCTCTCTCTCTCTCTCTCTAGATGAGATCGGTTTTTTTATTTTTGAAAGAGAGAAAAAAAAGGAAAGAGAGGTTTAATGATGCTTTGTTATATCCTCATATCACAAATCAATCTAGGCTTTTCTTCATATGCAGGCGTTCTTTAATCACCTGAAATAATCATTATTCCCTATTTTAACTTTTCTCTCTCTCTCTCTCTCTCTCGTTTTATTCTGAGAGATTTTTCTTGAGATGAATCTTTGACCCACGCAACATACCTGGAATGAATTTCTCACTTATGTAACATATCTGAAGTGAATTTTTAACTCATGAAAATGCAATGTTAAAATTCTTTAATGGCTGATATACTTACTTCAAAAGAGGAAAGGAAAGTTCAAAAAACTTTGTGTATAATCAAATTCAAAATAATTAAGTCCATTTAATAAAATAAGAAAATATCTTTATTATTGTTGTAAATTTATTAATGCAAGAACTATTATTAACAAGTCATTATAATGATTATCATCTTATGAATAACGATATATTAATTGAAAATCATTAATTGCATTAAGTGAATATATTAGTTACTTTTCATATCATTTTTGGCGCTTACTAATTGTTGCTATTCTTGTAATGTCCCGATAATATGCATCTTAAATTTCTAATTTCAGGAAAACTAAATGACTGGTAGTACACCAACACTATTCGCACCAATTATGAGTGAAACTGTTATCCGGGATGCTGTGGTAGATCAGTCTTATCTTGCCACCTCATCTCATCAGTATTTACAGTTTAACGGATCATTATCCGAAATTCACGATCATCCTAAATCTGAAATTTCTGGCAGTCGAAAAAGTTGCCGTAATCGAATTAATATTTTGCATTTACTACGTCGACAATTGACCAAAATTGCATCACATAATTTTTATGCAACACAACAACGAAATAAGCAATCGAAAATACGCCATAGCATAAGTGATGATAATGAAATGAAGCAAATGTTAAAATGTAATGGTGAGTAGATAAAAATGCAATATGAATTTCATGAGAATTTCTTCTTCACATTGTCAAGAATTGACATCACAAATTAAAGAGTTGGATTTTTAATAAATTTACTTTTCTCCAAAGATAAAGAGTAAGGAAACTGACAGTGCTACTGATAATACTAATTTAATTTATGTAGCATTTCTGGATACAGTCGTTTGGCAATTTTTTTTGCTGCTAACATTAAAACTTATGGAATTGAAAGAAAAATGGATTCTCAATGAAATATAAGTTTCTATTGCATTCATTACTAAATTAACAATCGCTTGATAATTCGATCACATAAATCAGTTAAGGTTCGGATGATGCTAATTTATATCATCATAACGAAAATAATTCTGACCGATCTGAAAAAGTGTATCATGATCGCGAAAACGACGAAAGCAATCGTTTTCAATCGACACCAGCTGTTTATCAGGATCCGTACTGTGCAGTAGCTGTTGATCGAAAAGTTCACATTTATGGATATTATGTACAGAGCGATCAGTTTATCAATTCAAATTGTTACTATAACGTAAATATTTTTTTTCCATATCGCTGTAACGTTATATTACTGTGACGTGAATATTTTTAAGATTTTGTGTGTGTGTGTATATGTGCACATTAAAACCAGCGTAATAATAGATTTCTAACATGTTTTCCTGTTTTTATTTAATTTTCAATTTTAATCAGTATTTTTATTTTCGTAAATTCGTTTCGAAGTTTAGCAAACTTTTCGTATCATACTTTGTCTTACTTCATCTCATACAATAGTTTCAACAATAAATCTCAGATGGTTCAAATTTCCGGTCAATTCATTTCCTCGAATAAAACACAATTACAGACGCAAAGCACAAGAACTGTTTATACAAATGATATTGGCGCAGTTTTTCATACTGATAATGAAGGACAATTAACGGGCAACATTTGCCGATCATGGGGACTTTCGCGGAATTCCGTTTGGTGGGCGGCTGATCCACAAAGGTATTCATTTGTGAAGCGGCAAAAGTACTATAACTGTAATTAACTTCAAGTTTTGATTGCGCTATCCTTGTTTACCTTCCTAACCGGTCTCTCGTTCACTATTATCTCAAGTTATACGAATATTTTCTTAACTTTCCACAATACTCAGGATTCTTAACCTCTTCAATTATCTTATTTCTTTTTCGCTACTAATACTGCATCTAATTATTTATTTAATCGTTTCCTCATTCTTTATCCACACACTATTTCGATAGTCTTATCCAACTCGAATTCCATTCTGTTGTTGCTTACATCTTCTTAAATTCTGTAATTTCAAATTCTTTAGTTTTCTTTGAGAGCGCACTATTGTTTAGCCAAAAGTTTAAAGACCACTTCCCTTCCATAGGTACACAGTGGTTGAAACATGGCAAATATTTCGCCCTCTTCATAAACTATCTGTAACTCATCGTCATTTCCAAATTTCCTTAACATTCTTTAACATTCAGCAGACGAGATGAAAATTCAACTAGTCGTTGACTGGGCTGTTGAATTTATTTGAAATTTATTTTCTTAGCTTACATCTGAAACTGGATATAAAATATCTGTTCAGATAAACTTATCATACTTAATTTGTTGTGATAATACTCACTTTCAAAAATCGAAATTATGAATTTCAGAAGCGATCCCGGAAAAAAGATGTGCTTGGTTGCTTTACAGTTGAAAGACCATCCAATTCTAATCGGTTTTACCGTTATCAAATTGGCCGCTTTCATAAATGCCCTAAAAATCTGTGGTCTTAACGAGGATTGCGAATTCATTTCTTCATTACCCACAATAATAGAATCCAGTGTTTCAGGAATCAGGTATTTCAATTTCGTTCTCCGCTTAGGACGAGAATTTGGTCAATTGATTCCAGAGAGCACTAGAGTGTTTGGTACTCAATATTTGATTGCTGCATTTAATTACTTTTTAAACGCATTGAGTATTTCAGCAAATTCTGACACAAATGAATGCATCACCCTTTAATTCAAACTACGTATTTCCAGACCATATGACGAAGTCAATCAAAAAAACAAAAACTCCAAGCGGTAAAGCCTCACCCGGCTGAGAACTCGATTTAGTGAAAGGTCTAAAATGTTACTGCAGCATCAAACTCAGACTATCGGTTTTGCTGCTTTCCAGGACAATATGGACGAGAATTCCAAACGAATGCTTGAACCGGTGCCCATCATTAAACTACGTGAACTTAATATCACCCTCTCAGGAATTCGCTTTTCTCATTTTCGTATGCATTAATCTGAACTGCATATTTTATATCGATGAAGAAAAAAACTGAAATGGTTGAAAAATCTCAAGGAAGTATTTACACATTTCCAGATATACTACCGAGGTCAGAAAACCCGTTCCCTTGTTTATACGAAGTCAGAATTACTGAAAAAAAAGTTCGATATTCAGCTAGCGATAACGTACTACGAATAATCTCTGGCTTACGGTTCAGGATAGTAGCTAAGTTAATTTATGCACTTATTAGAGTATCTACCAGCCCAATTTGCATTTCAAATTTCAACTATCACGATCTTATCCCATAAAAATGACATCAACTATTTCAAAACGAAATCTCTGACGGGTGCTTGATCTATATACTGTCATTTTGTATCGATGTTATTTCTCTTGTAGACAATAAATACAATTTCGTTGATCGAAACCAATGAAGACACTTAGCAAAACATGATGAGAGCCAGGCGAAGAAATTTTTTAGACAATTTAAAACAGGTATCGAGGCCGGTAACCGAAATGGGTATCGGGGCCCAAAGGCGAGTAGAGAATCAAAGATATAAAGGTGGAAGGTTCAGTTTGACGGAGAAAATCCGAGACAATGCAAAAAATGCAGAGCTTGCAAAAGCTTAGTAGAAATTCCATCTCAGAGTACGAATACAATTATTGACCACCAGTTATATCATAAGAAAATCAGTAACATAACAAATCTATAACTAAATTAATCTATCCATTATAACGTACAATTTAAAATACAGTCAATGATGCGAATTGAAACGATGGCAAATCACAGCGAAGAAAGTTTATGACTTAGTCATTGAATATCATATAAAATATAAGACGGAAAAGCTGTCATTTCAACGATAATGTCCCGTAATATTCTAGAACGATTCATGCCTTTAAAATAAATGTACCATAACGTAAACAAGTCCAAGCCTCTTCTACATATGGTGGCTGCGAGATTCCAAGAAAAGTATTCTATTCTCATTCTCATATTCTATTCTCATCATATTCTCACGATGCTTCTGAAAACTGGAAACGAACCTAATTTCGTGCATATCGTAAACAGTAAATCAAAAATACAGCTGCATATTTTCAAGCTAATCATATTAGTATAATATATATCGTTTTAAAAAAATTGTTAGTTCTGCAATATCAATAATATAAGTTAAAACTCCAAGATTTATAATAGAGGTATAAGACAAGTTCCGGAAGACTCCACGAGCTTGAATCACTAAGTTAACAAGATGACGTGGTACAAATATTAACTAAGTTAATAAGATGATGTGGTACAAAATGTTTAATGATAACAAAATAAAAAACAAATTTGCAAATTTCATCCTTAAAAAATCTTCAGACCTTCCAATGAACTTATAGATTTCAAAACAGTTAGGACTCTTCAACGTAGAAAATAATTTCACCGCTCCACTTCCGTTAAATTAATCTACCTGGAAGAGTCCTATCTCTATGAATAATTATCAATCGCGAAAGATGTGGTCAAAATCAACTGAAGCATGGTAATAATTCATAAGAAAAAGAAGATACATATGCATGATTTTTTATTTATTAAAATTGACAGGCAAAATTCAAATAAGATATATTTCTGAATGACTAAACAGAATATATAGATCTATAAAAACTTAAAAAATTTTCAATTTCTAATATGAGTGATTTAAAGTACTGCAAATACAGAGCTATAGGGATACTTGGATTGATTATTTCAATGGAAAACGACAATTTGAGAGGTTAAGATATCAGCCGCTGGCCTATTTCTAATCCAGCTGTTTTTCAAATCAAATTTGACAGTCCCAACCACTCGATCTTCGCCGGTAAATCCCTATCAACTTAAAGGTACTAAAAATTTCGGTACTTTAGTTCTTTCCCTCTTCATATCTCTTACAGAACTGGATTTGTTGAATTTCAGTTATTATACTACTATTAGAAAAAATATTAAAATCTTGTTCAATCATTTCACATTACTGAGAGGAACCTTTGTGAGAAAAAATTCCATACGACGACTCAATCGCACGATTTATATTTACGAGCTTTTTATATTTTTTGTTAATCTATCAGAAATTCCATCGCCTCTGTTCAGCCGTTTATAGAAGATGGGTACCAAAGAGAGAATTGCAGTAAAAGCTACTACTGATATGGCGCTCCATGACCAAGCTGCTCCCATATGTGTTAACCTTTGAAGAGTTGCACCTGCTTGGATATAAATACACGACGGTGGCGCTACTCCTGAAAGTCATATTAAATGTCACTAAAAAATAAATTATTAAGAGAGAAGTAAAAAGTACAAAAAATAATCGAAAATCAAAGTATTCAAAAAATGAACTTATAGATTACAATGCGGTCTAAGAATCAGGAAGAGAACGAAAAGAATCACTCACCCAAAAATGTTCCGAAAAAAAACGCTGACACTGGAACGTTAAATATAGGCGAAGCAAGATTTATGAGCCAATTCGGCAAAAGTGGCGTTATTCGTAAAAAAATTATAAAATAAAAGAAACTATCAAAGTCAGAAATCTGAAAAAAAGGCAAAGGTAAATTAAAGTCTAAACACGCTTAAGAAAGCAATCTAACATTTATTTATGAAATAATATTTATTAGAAATTGCTTATATATGCTTCAAATTTGCGAAGTTTTTCTTAATTCGTTACTTTGAAACAGCTATCCTTCCTTAAGAAATTTTTCTAAAAGTTTTTCAACTTTTTTATATTAATCAAAAGTCCGCTCCACTAAACTGGTACTTCTCGCCTTTTTTCTGCTGTTAGAGATGGGGATGGATTATTTATAAAATACATATAGTTTAACAGATTAAAACTTTAAAAGTAGTAATTGAACCTCATTTTTCCATTTGCTTATTTTTTCCGGAGCAAATGCTAAAATTCGTTCGCGTCCAAACAGAAGCGCAAAGAAATAACACATCTGTGCCCCACAGGCCGAACACTGGAACTTATTAATTTCAGTTATTTCCTAGATGTTAATAAATGAAGATTAAAGGGAAGTCAATCACCAAAAAGGTAAATAAATTATGCAGGTACTTAAATAGTAAAACAATTTGACATCAATCATGATTTACCGTACAAACTAGACATAGCGCGATTGGAAATGAAAATAAATATCCTGAGAGAACAGTGAGGAAAATTGAACCAGGAATAGCTAATGACTGTAACCTGAAACAGAGATACAAATATGGAGTCAGGAAAATGAAAATTTCACAATGAAAGAGATTATCAAAAATATTTATACTCATTATGATGCGGTTATTTCAACGGAATTGGAGCTTCCTCAGAAAGAAAGATATATCAAACCGAATGTGGAACTAATTTCTCGTTGTTAGGACATAACTGGTAAAGAAGGCCCAAAGCAAAAATCAGTGGCGAAAGAAAAGATAACATCTTAAACAACAGTCGTAACATACTTAGATAGTATTTTCTACAGTATATCTTGGAAGCAATTTCGAATAACAACCAAAAGAGCAGAATACATGGAGAAATTGAGAATTAAACACTTGAGAGCAGATAATAGTCTTAACAGTAAAAAACAAATAGCCCAAAAAACTAAAAATTAAGGCAAAAGAAATCAAGAACTCACATGATGTACACAATTGATATACCAAACAAGACAGTATAATAATGCTTGTCCTTGTACTTTGAAAGAACCAAACCTAGTCGTTTTGCTTGTGTTAGATCTTTTGGTAGTTTGAAGTCAACTCTTTCATCGCTGAAATATATTAGCATATTAAAATGAAAATGAAAAATAAATGATGAACTGGAAATCAATTCATACGAAAAACTGGGATTAAAATTGGTCTTTTTAATGGGCTTTTTAAATATTTTTCCATTTCGATACCCTCACCTATAATAAATTTGGTTTGAACCTTATTATAGCCCCCCCCCACCAAATTATATGCTGTCAATAAGCACCACACAGACTAATAAAACGAAAAAATTTTTTCCTCAAAATTTTATACGCTGAATCTTCGAAATACGATTCCCACCTTCTATCAGAAAAACAATTTTCAGATATCCAAATAATAAAGAGAATGGTTCAAGGGAATACAAAATCAGCACAGCCAACCTCCAGAAACGATAACCAAACATAGAAATTAAAAACAGTGAGTGATATTTCGGGCAGTAACAAAATTAATAAAATTGATCGAAAAATGATCTCAAACTTACTCAGTAAGTTCTGGAAAGTTGATATATAGCGTAAATAAAACTAGAAAAATGCCGAATAAGATACATGCTACGAAGGCAAACTTGTTAAAAGCCATACGACCAAAAACTTTACTTCGGTTCTAGTATAACGTGCTGATAATGGGTTGAGAATTAAATACTATCCCCCTGAAATACAGAACTTTCATTAAAAAAGAACAAGCATTCAAGACCAAGACTCACGAAAACTCAATATTGAAGCCTGTTACACAAGGTTGAAATGTACCTTAATAAACAGTGTACAATCTGTCATGCTAGAGGCCACTCGACTTACTCCTACGTAATTATGTCATTCAAATGAATGGAAGATACCCAAAGTATTTCCCACCCTTTATGAATCCATTAAATACCTGAAAGAACAAATATTTCGGTACTAATATTTTTCTCCTATCATATTAAAACTCTGAGTCGATAGTGAAAAGCTGTACGGAACGGAACGCAAACTCTATATTCTCTAAAAACAAAGTGACTAAAGTTTATTGAAAAATCAAAACCATAATAACAAACAATGAAACAACTTTCTTCAATGTAACAAATACAATATAATTTTCCATTTATTACAATACAAACATCTCAAAAATAAGAGCATAAAATATAATCAAAGAGACGAGGAAGACTAACAAGCATCAAAAATCAAATTTCAATTTTCGATTGAGATTTGATTTTCGGAAACTTCAAATTAATTCCAGCATCAATGTAACACTTTTTCAAGCTTGCTAAAAATAATATATTTATGAAAACACATGAAAAACCATAAATAGTAAGAAATATAATTTAAATATCTTTTCTTCGAAACCTATCAAGCACTGTTTTTGGAGAATCCTCCGCTACTTTCTTATCCAAAAATTCCTCTTCTAATTTTTTCCGCTCTTCGTTTATCGCAAATCTCTGTTCAAATTGCACGCCTTGTTTGACCTGCTCCTGTAAAAGATAATAAATTCTCATCATTTATGCAAAGATAGACTCCTTTCCTTCAGGAATAAAAAGGCATAAAAAATGTCAAGACATGACTGACTGATTAGCTTTTAAATTCTTTACCTTTCTTAGAGCACTGCCTTTTCCTTTCCTCTTATTTTTCGGTTTAAACTTCACTTCACGCGGTTTCGTATGGAGCAATAACTTTAAACGTTCATTCTCTTTCTCAAGCAAATCCGTATTTACTTGAACGATTTCTGTAGTGTCTAAAGTGATCAATTCTGGTTGAATCTAAAAAAAAAGTGTTTCAAGACATCATAATAGACTTGATTCAGACTGTTTATGTTGGCATCAAATTACTAACGCAACAGGGTACCTTATCTAAAAGCTGCCTCACTTCCCGCTCACGCCGCTGAGTTTTTGATTCATAAGGATTTATCAAGAGTGCGTTGAAGTTTGGTTCTCCGCTTCCTGCAAGTGAAAAATGTAGAAAAAATTTATTAATATAATCAAAAAATAGAAATGCTTTTTAAATTTTTCAAAAAATTTTTAGATATAATTACCCGGTACTAGCAAACTAGTGAATCCATGTTGATGTCCGACTCCGAGAACATCTTCATATGGACAAAACTTCAGATTGGATATTATTCCAGTGCACTGATGTGACATGTAAGGCGCAGTAGTTGTGCCCAAATGCGCATCATTTAAAACCTGTGAAAAAACTTTTAAATACAAAGAAATAGCAGAATATATATTTGCCTTTATTTCTTATTATTTCATACTCAATTAAATCTAAAATTTTTGAATATATAAAACTGAGAAATTACCTGAATTTGATTCCCAACGCTGCAAGCAACTGTATAGCGTTGACTGAAGGCTACTTTGGCCAACCCAAACGGTAATGTATAAGCATACAACTGTTTATAATTACGTACATCCCATATTCTATAAGCGAAAATTTTCAAACACTAAATTGTAATTTTAATAAATCCAAGCTTCGAAAACTCGAATTTACCAAAAATTCATAATAAAAAAAAACAAACTACCTCAGCTTCTGATCAAGACCAGTAGTAGCCATATAATTATTTTCCACAGCTATACCACGTACCGAACATGGGTGGGCGAGCATTTTTACCAACGGTTCTCTGACATTCGGAGACCATAACTGCACTGTTCCTGAATACAACCACCATTATGATTGAAATCACCAATGACAGTTTATATGGTGCAATGTAGTATATATATTATCCCATTTTTGAACTTTTTCAATACAAAAATTGTAAAGTGATTTATATGTGACACTAACCATTTCCATGCCCGGTATGAATGATAGCGTTGTTTGGATTTTGTGTCATTACATCTAGGGGTCCCTGCTTTGTTGGAAAGGATTGCACCATTTTACCCATCGAAACATCCAAATAGTGCAGAAATGATGTATTACTCTGCAAATATTGACTACATGTATGCATTATGCGCGTCTATGCGCAATTACTTTTCTCATTAGCAACAGTAATTTTCTTCAGAACATAATTTCATTTTTTCACATAACAATAACGAGGTCCTTGTTTCTATGGTTTATTACTTAATTTGAATGATAAACTTTCCAAATTACTTGCAAAACATTTCAGCTTACCCCAGCAACAAGAAGGAAATGTCTCGGAAGAAATTCCAAACGCTTGATATCATGCAAAATTTTCAAACAATGCAACTCTACACCCGTGTTGTCATAAATATGAGTCCACCTCTTTTGAGCAACCGCAAACATTGTTTCAACATGTAACCATCTGGAATCAAACTTGAAATCCTATTTGCTAAAAAATTCAAGCAGTATCAATCATACTGCCTTCCAACTTAGATTTTGAGGAAACTTCTCGTGCAAACCAAAAGTTTCCTAAAGTGTCTACCGTCTGACTGCTTTTTATCCGTTTCGTATATTTTCTTTTTTCGAAATTCTACACTTAACTACTCCACAAACTTACTTGACATCTCGAACTCCCTCCATGACATTCATTTCACAACGGAGTGTTTTAGTTAGCCAATCAAAGGCAGCAACATGTCCACGTTTACCAGCAATTAACAGATGACGACCATTACGTGTATAATCCGCACTATATGGACCGAAACGTTCTAACCGCAAATCAAAGTACTGCAAATGAACAAGCGATTTCAGGGTATTCCGTTAATTTTACAGTATCCCTGACTCCTAACATTAAAAAACTCTAAATATTCAAAAAAAAAGCAACGACAAAAGTGAATAATAAATTTACCTTGCTTGCACTTGCAATATCAACAGCATTGCATATATCTTTTTGCTCGATCGTATAAGTAAGTTCTCCCTCATCTCCAGCAAGAAAACTGTAAAAGAAAGATATGATTAGTTGATTATGATCATTGCGGAAGATCAAAGCGTGCAAATCAAATGTAGAATTTAAGAGGCAATCACTTGCCCTTCATGTTCATTGTTAAGAATCTCTGCTCGTGCGATTTCCCTTGTCCTTTCCAGAAATCTTTTCTTTTTGGTTTCAAGCTTTGCTTTATGAAAATTAGTCTTCACATTTTCCTGCAAATTGGTTGAATCTATTAGATACGACCTTAATATAAATGTTAGGATCGTATGAAAATTCAAGAAATTAGGATAGCCAGAACTTTATGATGACTGAATAAAGTTTTAGAAGTGGCTCAAGCCAACCTTCTCTATCCCGAAAACAATTGAAAGAAACGTTGGTGAAAGTAAATCATGAAAGCATTTCATCACTCCTCACAAAAGTAATTACCGGATTAATATTTGCAGCACCGGTATCATGCCTTTCCAAGGCATTTTGCGGTATGAAAAAGTCGCGATCGCCACTGAAGTCTTTCTCGTATACAATGTTTTCCTTCCTGAAAGGAATTTTTGCAAACGGTTTAGATTTACCAAATCGAATCCTCAAAAACAACCTATTTCTCGGGAATTTGATACAATACACTAAGTGCATCAATTCAGTCATAAATATCAATAAATCCGGAATAAAAAACGAAGGGAATGCTGACTTTACATGAGGCCGTTTTTTGGCTTTCGTTGAATTGACAAGTACGCTTTTCGTAACTGAAAGGTCGAAGACCTCAGTTTTCGTCTCATCTTTTACCATCACTTCGAAGCAGTCCTGAAATGCATGCAGTTGTGTCCACCGAAGTAAACGACCATTGGAAACGCATCCCGCACAAGCACTCTCCCTGTGTCACGCCACATAACAGAATGAAAATTTCTGTCGCGCTATGCATTCAAATTTACGGGGTGCTTGAATTGGTTTAGTTTCAACGTTCTGGATCAGTCGGTTTAGATGGGGGTGGTTGGTTAGTTATTCCTGTATAATTCTGGAATGGGAACTTAAATATATAGAGAGGGGATAATCTACGACCCTCTATCGATGTTAACCATTAAACCATACAATTTAGTCAGATAGTTGCCGAAGTGATGATTATCTTATTTAGTTTTTGATGAAATTTTTGATGTTTTTTGATGTATTCAGTTTTTAATGTTTTTTGATGTATTCAGTTTTTGATGTTTTTGATGTCTGTTAAATGAATAAGTTAAAATTTTTAGCTCTTATTTTCTTAAGAAAATGATTTTTATTTGAAAATTTTTCGTTTTGATTATTAAGGTGATCGGAATGGAGTGTGATGTTGACGAGAAATTTAACGACGATGACAATTTAGGACGCTCGAGTAGTAAAGCTGTTATTGTCTCGAGAAATGTTTCATCGAAAAAGAATGACAATGGAAAACGAAGACGTAAACGACCGCGAACCAAAGCTCTTCGACGAACAATCAGGGAAAAGGCAAGTTCATTTCGCTTATTTTTTTCTTCGGAAATGAAGTATGGGAACTGTTTAATTAGTTCAGCATTATCATTCATGGCACACATTGTTGCAGTCTTAGATCTTAAGCGTTTGATGTAAACTGTCCTCAAAGGAAGCAGAAGTAATCCTTGATGTAAATGATGAGATGATTTCATCCATTTACTGGCTAGCAATGTCGGCATTCAAGTACTTGAAAAGGCCCAGGCTTAGATCAAAGCAAGATGAGCTGTTTGTAATCAGTAATACGTCAAATCGAATTTGGCGAGAGAATAAGTTTTGTCTGACCTTTATATTTAGCTGATTTACAGATTGAAATAGCATTGTGTACGAGCGACTCGCCAATTCAGGATATCCTAGAAACAGATATGGATTGCGTAGTAAGTGCACCGCTGTCATCTGTAATAAGGTTGCTGAAGTTAGATACGGATGAATATCGAAGACTAAGTTGCAAAGCGCTTATTAGCATTGGAAATTTGTCGAAATTTTTTTCAATCGTTGGTGATTCAGCGGACACTCTTCAACTTGTACTTAGAGGCAATGATTTGGATCACAGTTCTACCGTTGTTTATGTCGTAAGTTTGTTTCTTTTGAAGACTTTTGATTAGATCGAGTTGTAGTTTGGAATAATTATACCATATTAATAGTAAGTGTCAAAAGTGTCAAACTGCATATGTTGCTTTCATTTTAGGTTCACGTAAAGCTTCATGTAGCATTTTTGGTAGTAAAGTTTTATCGTAAATAAATTCAAGTTCCTGTTTTGTACATAAAGGGAAGTAATTTCTGTTCCAGACGACAAGAGATTCAAGTTTCCATAACAAATTTTTTTAGGACAATTTACCCTATGGCTGCAAAGTGGATTCATTGCAAAAATGGGCATCAACATTTGGAACTGTTGTATTTGTACGTCCGATAATGGAGGGAAAAATGAATACGAGCAAGGGTTCTGCCACGAATGGTATATCCGCATCAGCTGAAGTATCTATATCTACTGCGTGTACTGGCAGATTTTTTCAAAGTGCTTTCATCAAATTTGTGGACGAGCAGTCCCCAGTAGATTTTATTAAAGTAACGTTTTTGTTATTTTGAATTAGACATTATCTGTAGTTTTTTTTTACAGACCTAGTTATTCAAAATAGATTAAGTTTCCTTTGTTACGTTACTTGGCAAATTATTTGCAGTTTCATCAATTGTTGCGGAAGAAAGCTGCTAACAGACGGCGTAAGAAGCTGAAGTTGGAAAGAAAAAAAGTAGTGAAAAGATCAGCGAATTCTATTTCAAAGATTAAGAGCAAGAAAAAGCTGCAAAAAAAGAGACGTAAGTCAAAAAAAAAGGCTGAAAGTCGGAAGGTCAAGAATGGTGGGATTTCTGGAGATTTAGAAGCTGTGAAATTCGACCTAGTCGGTAAGGATTTAGTTGGGTATTATTTTAAAGGAAATTTTAAGAAATTAGATTAAGGGAAAGAGAAAGCTACTAATGGTTTTTTCATTTTACAGATGTCTGTTATTTAATAGCCGGGTTACTTTTTATTTTGGACTTGCAGAGCTTCAAAATAGTTTGAAGTAGTTATTGGGAATTAATCCAGTTTATACTTGTCGTTCTATAAATTTATATTTAAAAAAATTTTTGAGTTTAGAGGAAATGGAAATCAGTGCTGAAAAGCCAGAAGTTGACGTGGATAATTCTAGTGATGTTGTAAAAGGTGAGGGTGGAAATTACAGCAGGCGAAGGAAACGAAAAAGGCGGTCAGGTCATGGAGTTGATGACATACTGTTTAAGAAGACCAAAACGACTACTGATGAAGGTAATAATATTTATGAAGATATCTAAATGCGGTAGACTTATGTTTTCTCGAATATTTTTTTTTTGCTTAAATTAATGGCGTTTCCTAAAATTTTGGGAACTGCTCTGCGAAACAGATAAAAAGTTTTGGTACAAAATGTTCCAAGAAAAAGATTTACGATACAATTGATTAATAGATCCTAAACTATATCCAAGTATATTAGTGTAACGGGAATGAAAGATGTTAACATTGCAGAAAAGAAAGTTGAAACAGAAGCGGAGAATGAAATGGAAAATGCTAAACAAAATGGGTTTAAAAATGCTGATTCAAAAAAAGCTTCTGTAGACAATGATGTAGCTGAAAGGAAAGATGCAATTAAGGATGTTAAAAAAATGGAAGATGGTGGAGGATTCACGGCTCTCAAGAATATATCACAGTTGAAAGTCGTAGTTACTGACCAATCATCGAAGAAAACGTTCATAGATGTTGGAACCGATGTACCCGAAGAGTTTTTATTAAGCGAAGTTGGTGGTGCTGCGAAAAAGTGCGTATTTAAACGTTCGTTTTTATGTTGAGATTTATGGCTGGACTATTAGATTAAAAAGAGTCATTAATTGGCGATTTTAGTTTGAAATCCAAAGTTCGAACATATTTGTTCTAGACGAAAACGTGTGCACCGACAAAAGCGGCGCGAAGATAAGCTAAAAAATTGCAACCAACGTCCGAAGAAGTATTTTCATAATATACAGGCATATTCATTGTAAGGGATTTTTTTTCAAAATATTCGCCCTCCTATTTTTTCTATTCCATAAAAATTCTGATTCCAAGCATATTCAACATTGTGCATTTGTTTGCTTTTATGAAACAACTCTTTTCATTTCTGCTGGTTTGCAACTCAGATGTTCCCTTTTTGCATCATTTCAGGGACACATTTCAAAAACTCCGTTCAAGATACTTGGAATTAAAGAAACAACAAATGGTTCAACTGAAGGCCAATTTGAAGAAAAAAGGTGTACCAAGTGCGCTATCGGGTTTGACCAAAAAGGAATGGAAAATGAAACGTGGACGTAGTCGAGTAAATTTTTTCGTTGTATTTTCCTATTTATTTTTACTTTCCAGTGAAAGCATCTCGACTTGACTCTTTTTAAGTTGAATTTAATTATTCAGATGAATTATTGCTTATTTTTAGCTTATGATGCGCGCCGCAAAATTACATGAATATGAAGATCTCACTCATTACGTCCCAGAAGAAGATAAACTTACAGGGGTTCGATAAAAATTTTTCTTCCGTCATCAGCTATTTTGCTCGTGTTTGAAGTTAATTTTCCGGTTTTTTCTTTGCTTCTTTCACTTTATAACGTAGGAGATAATTGTGTATATGTTTTTATAAGTACTCGAATTTTTCGGATTTTGAAACATTGAATGACCATGGCTTTAAATATTCTTGTAACTTCTGAAAAGTATGAGTTTGCTGCTATTATTGCGAGATGGATGATTTATGTAATTTAATCATCAAATGATCTTGATTGTATAGAAAAATTCTTAATCAGTAATCCTTGCCATATTTTAGCTGCGAATTCAAAATGCTCTCTCCGAATCGTGCTTATAATAGGTGTAATCATAATTAGGTGAGAATTATGGTAAGCTATTTATCCGGTTCCATCCAACGGTGTACATTCTCATTGTGTTGAATAAAACTAATCTTGTGAAACACTGTTAAGATTGGATTATACTAATTTTTACTTCAAAAAAGACCTAAGCAAATGATGTTCATGTAATGCACTAAATTTCTATACAAAAAATAGTGATGAACGAGAAAAATGCCTAGAAACGATAGAACACAATAACACCGATTGGAAACACTGCAACTTTCACGACTGCACAAGGAACCACATGGATTTACGTAGACAATGATTTTCGTAAATTTTTTCCGAGATCTCAGGTCTTTGAATTTGTGCTTATTAACATGAATCCTGGGATTTTAAGCATAAAACATATTAATCAGTTTCTTTGCAAACTTTATCCGCTCAAATTTGTTGGAGATTTCGGGAATCTGAATAAAGAAATGAAGTTAGATAGGAATCCATGTAGATGAGGCAGTACAATGTACAAATTGCAAAGGGAGTTATGAAGTTCATAAATATATGAGATCTATGTAGCAGTTGATCGAACGGGAATGGCCGCAAGCTTGAGGTTAAAAACTAATAAGTCCACTTTGAACAGTGAATCTAAATTTGACATGGATGCCAGAAGTTCATCACGATTTTTGAATTTAATTCCAATGGGATTTTTTGATCCTGGTCAGGTTTGCGGTCATTGTGGTACAACAGGAAACGTAGGTGTAACATTTTCAGTTATGATTGGTTTTTTTCAATTTTTTATTAGAGGAAGTATCTGGAAGTTTGATGCTTTGTTCTTTTTATTGAATTCTATGATCATATATCATTTACCCGTCTATATTAATAATCTCCCTATTTCTCTCCATTATTTCTTAAATTTCCAATAAAATTTACAAATGACTCAAATTCCTCAGATTATTGGATCATAAAATTCCCAAAAGTAATACACGTATAAATGCATTTCAACAAATGTAAAAGGATAAGAGTAAACTGGCATAACTGTCTTCATGTTATACCGTAATGAAATTCCTGAGCAAGGAATGAAATATATGAATTAGACGCAAAAATAAATAGGAATTTTTTTTGATTTGTTTGTTCACAATGCTATTAAAATTGAGTGATATGTTTGTGTTTTGGATACAAGTTGATAATTACATGGAACTGCCGATCGCAACTTCAGGCAATCTTTAAGAAAGAAATCGTGAAATTTTCGTGATCTACTTCATTTTTTGGATGAAGTATCGGCGAATAGACCATCTTTAGAGTCATCGTGAACGACCGGAGCAATCATCTGGACAAATTCCTCGTAGTTGATCTGGAAGGTTTTGGCATATTTTACAATTTTTTGAATCATTTACATTTTAAAATTTATCAGTTGCATTTTCTTCAGCCAAACTAACCTTTGATTATCATCTCGATTACGATACCAAATGATTCCCATCATGTCTTGTATATCCGTTTTGCTAAGCTGTCATAAGTTCTAAAAAAGTGATACTAACCTGTTCATCGCCATCTTTATCAACTTCTTGTATAATTTCATCTACTTCTTCTTCGCTGAATTTTTCACCCATTGTTGTCATGAAATGCTTGAATTCTTGAGCTGTGATATATCCATTACCATCTTTATCAAAAACTCTGCAATGTTTTGCACAATAAATTCTCTTAGAATAATCTGCAAAATTCAAAAGAAAAAAGATGAAAATTACGAATCATTTTATCATTTTGTAATACTTATCATTTTTGGATTATTTGCTTAACTCTTATAATCTATTCTTATTTCTACTAATCATTATTAATTCTACTCTATCATTTAAAGGATACAGTTTCATCATCCAAAGAAAGTACCGCCTAAATTAATTCCCGATCGATACATAATGCATTCTTTCACACTTAACCATTGCCATTTCCTCACTACGCTAAGATTCTTGTACTTTATCACAAAGTGCTTTGAGCAGTTTTTTAGGAAAACCTTAAAGTTAAAATGACCAATCACTTTTAATGCAGTATAGCTAAAGTGAGCTAAACATTGAGATGGATGAATTTCTACAAGCAGATATTATGATAGAATTGAATGAGAAAGAAGAGGAAGGTAGACTTCCCATTAAGATGCCAAAAATTTCAAATTTCAAAAATCAAAAATTTATCGAAATTAAAATTCAAGTATTGCACATGTATGTATATTTAATGGAAAAGAAGTAGAAGCAGAAAAGAACGCGAAGAGTTTTAAATGCTTAATACTTTTTTTGTCAATCTTAAAAGCAAACGAAAAGGAGAAAATGCTTTCCATGCATGAAATCGTAAGTATATATATGAAATGGATAAGGGCAGATATTTTTACAGTACGATCATTCAGTTTGTGGAAAATGAATAATTTAATCTGATAATTTTTTAAACTTTTCCTTTGTATTTTAAGAAGAAAGAAGAAGATATCAGTATGAAAATTGAATCAATATATTGATATTCTTGAAGTTTAATTTCTCAACTTTAAAACTCAGAATTCAGCTTTTAAATCAAGATATAATCCGTTTTGTTAAATGATAACCAAGGCTTCTTATCTGATCCAAACACATGTTGTGTCGTTTACAACGCTTTTTTTTCCCCGATTAATCAATCATTATAGTAAAGATATGATAGCATAGATGATTGATGAAAAGTATACATACTTGAACGCTAATCGTACCAATTCTTGATCCGTTTCCTCGCTCATTTCTTTCATCATTTTACAAAATTCGAAAAAATCAATTTTGCCATTGCCATCTACATCATATTCATTAATCATATTTAGTAGCTCTTCCTCAGTTGGATTTAACCCAAGAGTACGCATCGCTATGCCTAATTCTTTGATATTCATCGTACCATTACCATCTTTATCGAACATCTAAATATGATAACATTGAAATTGCTACTAAGTATATACTGTTAATATTTGCATAAGACAATTAAATTAGCTTTTTTTTTCAAGTAAAATATACAGCAATTCCCGCACTTTTATGCAAGCGTTATCATCAAAATGCATTATAATTCTGACAGATGGAATGATATAATAATGAATTATCAGAATAGAAAGATTGGAAAGTTAGAAGTTACAATATACTTTATCAAATGAAAGAAAAAAAACGAAAAATTACGTTAAAAAAATTTTTGGAATTTTAATTCAAAGAAATTAGTGAAGAAGAGAAAAATAATATAATGAATCGTCCGAGGAAAGATTCAGAAAAATCTAACAAAAATTTAACTGAAAATCAGCTAGAAATTTGAATCATTTCTAATAAGACCTTAAAAGCTTGCGCAAATTCTTGCAATTGTTCTGGTGCAAAATCGTCCTGTTCTGTTGCCGCTAATGAATTACTACACCGATGATATATTTTCGGTTCATCAAGATGTGCGGATGAGGAATATGTTGGATCTGTATTCTGAACTGAAAATTGATCTTAACGCTAAAACAAGAAACCGAATTTAAGCAATACTTTGTAAATTTAACATTATTCTTTTTTTTTTTTTCTCTGAAAATTCATCAATAGAATAATAGAATAATTAGCGAATGGATAAAATGGAGGAAATTTAATCATTGAATTTATAAAAATCTTTGATTGTTCGGCAAACAATTTTATCATTGTATCCGTGGGTATCCGGAGAGAGCAAGTGAATGATCTTGTTGACAGGTTTGATAACTGATCAAAACAAAGGAAATTTAAAATTTGTCACCATATAAATCATTTCAAAATAGATTTTTTTTTACCAAGATTTCACTGCAGTTTGAATGATTGTTATATGAATAAATTGGATATTATCCCTCAAATTCAGAAAGAAGAAAAGAAATTTTAAAAAAACGGACATTTTGAAAAAGTGACATCAAACATAAACTATATATGTGTGTGCATACATAGCTGAGTACTTATAATCCACTTTATCTATTAGAAAATATAATTATTAAGTGATGCAATGTGAACGGCCTTTTGTTTTTATTCTTTTCTCCTTGTTACAATTTTTGAAAAAGCTATAAATATTGATGAATGGTAAATTTAAAGCTCGAACTTTAAAAAATTTGAAGATTTCGAGAAATTTGAAATTTTTGAAATTGCAATGAAAAGTTCAACGATGTGACAATTAATCTGAGGAATATTTAGGAATACGAAAATTTTTACAGAAATATAAAATTTTCAATGTTACTAACCTGGAGGAGTTTCAGGTTGTACACTATTAGTTGTTATAGCAATTCCTCCATTATTGCTTTCGTTGGTGGATGAGGTGGATGTACTAGGTGGACTTTGAAATACACCCACCATATGGACAATACGGCCTTTGGCTGGCACAGCAAGAGAAGCATCTTGTGATGGCGAAGGACAAGGTGGTGACGCATCACGACCACTTTGAAATCTGAAATCAATATAAGACATATCATACTAAATTTCTTCTTCGACAATTTACAAATTTTACGCTGTAGAGAGATGCTTATTATAATAAACAATGGAAAACGATAATAACTTTTGTTTATTATATTAAACATTTGTTATAATAAACAAAAGTTTATCATAATAAACATTTATTATAATAAACAAAAGTTATTATCGTCTTTAATTTTTTATCTTTAAATAATTTTTGCTTTTATTTCCACTTTCTTTCCTTTAACCATCGTAATGTGTTACTTATCAATTATTGAAATATTAATAAATCATTTTTATGATAAGATATTGATGATGATAATAATGATTATAATAATGATAATAATCAATGATAATAGCAGTAATATAATTATTAATATTAATAAATGATATATAACAATAATTTCTAATAATATATATATATATATAAATAATAATAAATAAAAAATAATAATAGTTGATCAGATAGCTTTCATTTGAATACGATGATTGTTAAGTTTAATAATAATCGTATGATAATCAAAGTTATCAATACAATCGATATATTATTTGAACTTTTTATGTTAATGATTAATTTGAAAAAAAAGAAAGAAGAAATGAAAAACTAACTCATTTGTTAATCGTGTATGTTTGAGTACTTTGGTTAAACCACTTAGATCGAATGTTATTTCTGATCGTCTCTTCGATGCTTTCCTGCTGTGCCGTTTTAGCCTCATCACTGAAAATGATCCTAAAGCCGTAATCTCGCCAGTTTTACGGATCCTTATCCATTTGTCTCCATCACTGAAATCTCTTATTAATTTGTACATTGTAAAAAATGCATCATTAAGATTAAGAAGTACTATTCATTTAACGAAACAATAATTATCGATTTCCACAAAATAATTATCTAAAATTTGCTTATAAAATTTAAAATACACAAAATGATGAATGTTAATGTAATGAATTAAAAACATAACATATTTTCTAACAAGTAATTAAATTTTTCAAAAAAAAAAATAAAACAAATAATAATTTATTATTATTATTTTTTTATTTAATCGATAAAATTCATCAAAATGACAAATGTTAAAGAAATACAAAATGAAAGGAAAGTTTTCGTTTTATTCTTTTAAAAAAATTTAAATTTAATCATTAATGGTTGAAAATTTGTTGCCTGGAAAATATTTCAATGCAAAAGCTTTACGCAACAAATTAACTGACATTCATATCCGTTTCATGGTATGTTAGTAATTTGTCATTTACTAATGATGACAACATAACAATTTCGTAATAGCTAAAAGCTTTAGGAAGTAATTTGTAGTTAAGAGAAGCATATCTGCTCGTAATTTTTAGCTTTTTAAATTTTCAACAAAAGGAAAAAGAAAAAAGAAATTATAGTGTAAATTTTTAAAGTAATAAAAAGAAGTAAAAGAAGCAAAAGAAGAAGAAGAAGAAGAAGAAGAAAGGTATTGCAATTAATTTAAAAAAATATTTATAAAAGTTTCATTTTTTAAAAAATTTCTAATAATCGTTAATGCCAGCTTCGTTTTTTTTTTTTGTTTCTAATTTAAATTTCTTCCCTTACATATTATAATGCATATAATTGTAAAGTTAAATTATTCTTTTTTGATTTTTAAAAAAAATTTTCCTTACATTTTTCTTTTCTAAGTTTATTTACGTGAAATATTAAATGTTGATCGCTCGCTTATAAGTTAACAAGCTAAAAAGAAATAGATTTAAGCTTTGATCGTAGGAAACGTTGACAAAGATTGAAACGTTTGTATGTGTGTATTGGGTGAAGTTGTTAAAATTGAATGGAATGTAGAAGGCAGCGTCATGGCAACAATTATTGTTGGATGGATTGATAAACGGAATGGAATGAAAACATGTTTTCGTAAGGAAAATTTATTCGCATGTAAAAAATTAACTCCATTGCTGTTTCTTGTTGCGTAATTATGTCTTTCTTTGATTCATTGATTTCTTTTATTCAATTTCGAAAGCTATAATTTTGTGTTATAGAA